ACATACGTATTAAGTACGACTTGGATATTTCATATCCATTGTGTTAATTACGTATTTAATACGTACATTATATTTGATATGAAATGAAACGCAATGTACATGCAATATAGATACTTAATTTAAGTATTTAATATGTATTTGCGATGAAAGGTGTTGTGCGGGATGTATTCACTTTTGAAAGTTGATACGACAAGATGATTGTGATAGAAGCATTTAGTCATGCTATTGCAATTGGCCGTTCTTCATATTGTAATACTGTCTGTTATTTGAGAAGAAATTGGAAACTCTGCAGTTTATTGTTATAACGATTTATTATTAGAAGAGAGAAGTAACGTTTTTTATCTCCACAGACTTTGAATTAATTTTTGACGAATTTGTGCAACTTTTACCGTGTATTAATATTCAAGATTTTAATAACTATTCTTATTGCGATATTTTCTGTTAGTTTGGGTGTATATTTTATTGTTTCTTAACATTGAGAGAATAACCCAAAGTTGAATAATAACCTAAGTTGAATAACCCACGTTTGTTCGATTTCTGTATTTGAATTATACGATTTATTAAATATTATCTGCATTCAACACCTAGCTTCGACTCATAACGAGTATTTATTTTTAAAAATTTTAGCTAAATACATATATATATATATGTATCTATTTTTCTTTCGTGTGCATTGAAATAAATTGGTAGCTTAATTCGTGCTTATAATATCGTAATTTGTATTCGTCAGAATAGATTTATGAAATGTGTCGAGAACTCTCTCTCTCTCTCTCTCTGTGGTAAATTAATAAACAGCTGTAAGCCCCTTGATCGATTCGTGAAATAAATATTACAGATAATGTTCATTTCACTGGACATCTAGGACACGCGTACTAAATCGAATTGTTATTGAAGGACAATCAGGAAACGAGCATATTTTGGCGCATGTCGCGAACGCGTTCTCGTACGAAAAATCTAATTTATTTCGACGTGCAGGGAGAAACTTATGTGATCTCTAGCTTCACAAATATTGAGATCGCCGGGGGGGGGGGGCGCGAGAAAAACGACGCCGGGAGCAAAGGGAGATAGTTGGCGCTTATGTTAGTGAGGTCGACGTAAAGGCAAGTTTTTACGATTGCAACGTAGGGAGAAAGAGCTTCTGCACGATTCGGGCTCGATCTCGCGCAGCGCAGCGCAGCGGCGGTGACCCACTGACCTGGAACCCTGGCATCTCGCGCTATCGGTTGATCCAATTTTCCCGCGTGTCGTTGACTTGTTCCTGCGTCAGGACGCGCCGTAGGGATGCGTTCGTCCCTGGTAGTCATCGATTTCCAGGAATGGGAGCTGCGCCCCGATGAGCCGCGCGCCGAATCGCGCGTTCTCGATTCTCCTTTGGTTCTCTAAGATCACACGTACGTCTCTCCTCTCTCTCTCTCTCTCTCTCTCTCTCTCTCTCTCTCTCTCTCTCTTCTTGTCTCTCTTTTGGCTCCGCGACTCACCGTGACTTCCCCCGAATGTATGTACCATGTTCGTCGCGTCGAGGATTGTGAGGTCGAGGAAACTACGCGGGATCCTCCCGCTGGACCAGCAGCAGCAGCAGCGGCGGTGGCGGCGGTGGCGGTGGCAACAGCAGCAGCAGCAGCAGTAGCTCGCAGTCGATACCGCTGCTGCGTCGAGGAAACACGAGACGCGCGCGACGGACAGGGGGAAGATAAACCGAACTCTCATAACATAGAGAGTAATGAGAACCGTGCTCTGGATATTCGATATCGGATTGCTTGATCAAGCCTCTCCCGTGGTTCCGCGTTACTGATCTTCGCTCAACTCGCGGACAACCGAACCCGAAGTAGAGTCATAAGTGGCTGTCGATGATTAATACTTATCAGACGCGAAATGAAGACGTTTACTCGTCCTATTCGTTTCATCGTGAGAGTAAATTTGCAGTGATATAAGACAGGGAGAAGGGATATTACACAAGTGTCGGAGCGTGGTAAGATCTTGATAATAAAAAGGGCAGAATATCGCGGATAGAGTAAGAAGAACGCAATGGTAGAAATAACGGCGATGATCGCAATGCGTTTGTGAAATCATAAAATATATATATATATATATATATATATATATAGAATTTATTACTCTTCAGCATTACATAGCCAAGAAGAGGACTTGGTTTACAATAGATTCTTACCTCCTTCATCCTTCCATACTTCATACGCGCTCTTATTTAACTATTTTTATTATTTAATTTATTTAACTATTTATTTTTACTTTCTATCTCTATCCTTATTCATTGCCACTTTGCGATTGTTACATATTTACATCACCTTACACCTATCTAAGTTAGTCTTATATTATCTTATGTTCTTATCTATGTTCTTGCACTACTTATTTTATTATCTATTTTCTATAGCCTATATCCTATTTCACAGCCGTATCTTTTCACAGCCTTTCACAGCCTTTCACAGCCTTTCTTATCCTACGCAATATTTATCCCTATCCTAATACTCCCTATCTCTCTCTTCCCTTTTCCTTCTCGGTATTATTTCTTTATCTTTCCATAATTTCTTTATTATCTTATCCTTACAATCGTCCAATTCCTCCCCCATAACCTATCTATAACTTTTTCTTTCGCTTCCCCTAATTCCTTAAATCTCCCACTCACTTCTTCGCATTCCTCTACATAGTGTACTATATTATCTCTACCTTTTCCACAGAATACACACTTCGTTTTATCTTCGTCTCCTGCTAACCAATATTTGTTTGCCTTCTCCATATTTCCACACTTCAGCCTCGCTAACGTCCTTACCTCATCTCCTTTCCTTATTAATTCCAATCTTTCTTCTTTCAAATAAATCGTTCCTCTTTCCTTATCTCTAATCTCTTTATATTTCTCATTATACCGGGTCTTTTCCAATCTATTCTCCCATTGAATCTGCACATCCCTTTCCCTATTAATTAACTCTTTCTCCAAACTAACCGATCCATTCTCCATTACTTCCGGGACTTCTATTCCTCACCCGTTCCTATTATAACATCTTTCTCTCTCCCGTATCTATCTTCCCATCGATATCCCTCTTTTTCCTCCCAGCATTCTCCTACTAATCTTCCTGTTAACCCTTTCTTTATCTTTTCTTCGTATCTTCTCGCTCTTATACCCCATCCCACCCTCATTTTGTCCATCGCTAATTCCCTCATTATCAAATATCTAGGTGTGCAAAATTATCCTATGCATTACCCTATTCTCTGCTTCGCCTTCATTTGCTCCGCTTCTCCTATCTCCACACTTTATTCTCCTACTATTTCTATCTACTTTACTTACTAATATTATTCGCTAATCGCATAAAAGTCGCACAGCACACGCTACACGCATACGTACACTCACGCGCCCTCTAACCAAGTCCATGTAGTGAATACCGAAACAAAGCTGACTCTCTCTCGAGTAGATTTAAGATTTGGAAACACAGAAAAGAATTTCTTTCAATACAGCGGCGTAATAACATTATATCGTTGCGTTTAGAATTTTAGAGAAAAAAAAACAATTATGAAAGTAATAGCTATACAAACTTTAGTAATTATTTGCGATAGGGTCTTTTTTGAATTTTTATGTTTTTTTTCTTGCTTTTCGTGAAATTAAAAATCTTTGTTGCGACTTAAACAGTGATAATCAACCAGAGGGGTCCAAAAATGTGTAACCTGCTTATTTTTTTTTTTTTAATTTATTTACCAGCATAACTCTTCCAACTTTTAAAAGAGCCGATTTCACTTCTAAATACAACTAATACCTATAGTAATTTATGCCTATTTCACTGCGTCATTGTGATTTAACTTATTACCGAGATTATTAAATCTTTACTAAATAGATGAATTTATTATACTATATGCTAAAAATAATCGAAACTGAAAAGATTGGACAGATCCTAACACAAGGTACTGAATTATCACATAAATTCTCCGCTTTAAAAACACAAAATTACATAAGAAAATAGTTTGTGTTCTTGGAGAAGATAGAATCCTTAAAATTTCATCGTTTGTTGTTTCAATTTCCGACATATTGTTGAAATAACGTGCACGATAAAGTGATACCTTTATTGCCTGCGATTACGATCCTCACAAGGTACGAAGAGAGCCGTGGGATCTCGGGGAGCACTTTGACCTGCGACGGAGTCACGTTCATTATGACTGTAAAACAGTCAAGGACGTTTCCAGATTGCCGGAATTGTTTTAATTTACGTGCCAATGTCTACGGAAAAAATAACATCCTCGAGAACGATTGGCAACAGGCTCCCTGTTCTAATTCGGACAATTCTCTTCGCTTCGTTTTCCGCCCACGCCACGCGACGACACGCTCACGTTTGCACGCTCGCCTACATTAATTAACCAGGCGTTAGCCGTTTATCTGTCACAAAATCAGTTTCGTATCGAAGTACACTTGGAGTGCGAGTGCGACAATGTACTCGTAGACTTAATGCACTCTTTTCGCACCTCGTTATTAATCGCGCTTTAATAGCGCGAGCTCTAGTTGCAATTCGCAGATCCTTTACTTTTTTTTACTTTTATCATTTTTCTTTCCCTTCTTCGTTATACTTCAAAACTATGGTGTTAATATAAAAATGTTTTATTAGTTGCCATGAATTTTTAATTAAATTGTGTTTATAAGGCGTTTTGAATTTGCAAGTCACTTATTTCATAAATGTGTTCATTGAATCAATTTGAAGTTTTTTTTTCTCTACTTGAAATGTCGAGAGAAATCGTTATTTAGTTGATTTGTTACATTAAAAATATTTTTATATATAATTTATAATTATAATAAAGATATTCAAGGTATTTTTAAGATATTTTTTCTATTTATATCTTTATCTATAATTTATAATTTCTCTTCGAAATAAAAGAAAATTACTTCAAGTTAAAAAAAGAATAGAAAATTTACACATTTGACGTTTTGAATTCTTTAAAATTTAGCTTCTAAAAAATCTTAAATCCTATATGTACCTATAATCAATGAACGTGATGATTTGTTGCAGGTGCAGTTGAGAAATAATTACCGAAAATGAGTTGCATGTCGCAGTGCGCCAAGTACTTTCTCTGCTTCTTCAACTTTATTTTCTTTGTAAGTATACAAGTTTTCACTAATTTAGGAATCGAAACCTACATTCCCTATGTTTGCGAACCTAATCGTAATTCAGCAGTATTGCAATTAGCAACAATTCGTTTATTTCCTCGCAAATCTTCACTTTGAAATTATCGAAACATTTCTCACTCATTTTATATGCGTTTAATTTAGCCAATTATACGCGTAGTATCAAAGAGTTAAGAAGGATTAATCCGTCAAAGAAATTCGCAAACTTTCTCGGTGAAGTGTATAGTTGAATTACACGAAATCTTCTCTCATAAAATAATCTCTCGATTCATACCGTTAGAACTTTTGATTTTTTCAAATGTATTACTAATATATCACAGGAATGAACGCTAGAATAAGATCGTTTTGCAAGGCACCGTTGTGCTCTATAATACAGATTGACGAAATGTGTCGAAAGCTTCTTTAGTTATCTTCAGCAAGCGAAGATATAATGTAATGTTCAATCCGTATGATGTTTATTTCTCAAAGCGTCTTGTGACAGTCGATATCAAGATTTACGTAGTGTGTAATTAGAGATGAAAATGACCAAATTTTATGATAATTTACTCGGTAATTTACCGTAAATTAGTCAGTAATTTATGAAGGTTGATAAAATGGTAATTTAAAAAAATTATAAAAATAAAGTAATTTGATATAAGAGTACATTTAGTCATTAAGTTAAAAAGTTTAAAACACTTTATTTAATTTAAATTTTTTATTTTGATACTACTTATTGATATAATAATTAAGAAACTATATAGGTACGTAGTAACTAGAGAAACTTTAAATAAATTATTAAAATTTTGAAAACAAAAAGTGTAACAGGTACAATAGTCTTAAACTATATTTTCAATACCTTATAAAATTAAATGATAGAAATAGAAGAAAAAATATATCGTAGTGTAACTTTTCAAATTACGTGATTTTAAAAAATCACGTACTGATTTGGAACAATCCATTGCGTGATTTACATGTTTTAATTGCATGATTTCGTTATGTAACTTTGTGACGTAATTTTTTTCAATAGGGTACGTTTAGATTTAGTCAATAGCCCTGTTATTCCATCAGCGATTCCTATTAGGAATATTGAATGATTGTATAATTTTATACAATACATAAGTACGAAAATACAGTCTATTTGTGTATAAAACTATAAGAAACAACAAATTTTACCAAAATTACCAATAAATTACCATTTTACCGTAATTTTACATCTCTATGTGTAATCCTTGAATCAGAAAGAGAACTACTCGATACATTTCATAAATTCAATCTATCGAACACAAGTGACGGGTACGCAAGAGAGAATTGACCTATTTTAGTTTATACTTATAGAAAACTCACATTTCTCTCTTCTGTAAAGTGTGTACGATTTTGCTCAAGTATATAAAAATTTGGGCAGACACAGAGCTGAAAATAATTGTGTTAAACCATCAAAATAATTATGTATAGAAAATTCAAATATGATAAGCAATGTTGTAAAAAGTTTTGATATTCTAGCAACCAGCTTGAACGTTTTATTCCGCGTATCAAGGATTTCTTTGTAGAAAGGAGATTATCAATTCTGTTATCATGTAAATAGTAATTTTTTGCATTAAATTATTTTTTTAATTATTTTAAAGCTTAGAATGTCTCTCTCGTTCCAGATTTTGAATGGGAAAAATATTAGGTTTTGTCACACATAATTTTTAATCATAAATTTCGGAAAGGAGAGGGAGTTGAACTTCTCAATTCCTCCCTGGATACGCCTATGCATCGTACATAATTATTTTAATGATCCAACAAAATTATTTTCAGATCTGTATCTAACTACTAATTTTTTCAATATTTCAACAAAATCGTGTTCTTTCCGTGTAGGGGATTGCTCCAAGAGCAATTTTAAAGAAGGCTGATCGAACACAAAACTTGTAGGAAAGACGACATACGAAGTGAAATTTGTTTTTGCAAAAATCGCAGGCAGGAATCGCCTGCCTGCCTCGCCATCGAAGCATGAGCGTTAAGACCTCTCTGTCTTCTTTGGTAGCCTTGAGGTCCACGAAGCAGAACGGAAACCTACACATTAAAACCTCGTGTTTTTACAGATCGCCGGAGGAGCAGCATTGACTGTCGGTATCTGGCTTTTCGCTGACAGAACCTCGTTCACCAATCTCATCGCGAAACTCGATCAATCCGACTTGCTGGTAAGATGAAAATAGATTAATTAATTATTTCAGACGTAGATCTGCATTATAGCGACGTTGCTGGAAAGGGAGGGAAGGGGATCCAGATTGCACGCACTTGTCCCCAGACATTTCTTCTACCTTGTTTTTCGAGGAAGTCATTAATTGACATTGCGCGCGGCCACTTGCTCGCGTGATCGTGGTGTACAAGTGGCGAATTGGCCGAGTACCAAATATCCAATGAAACGAACACTGTACGAACGTTGCAGAGAACGGCGTATCCATGCCGTGCACGACGTGCAGCGAAGTTTGATAAATTTAACTTTCAAATCAATCTTAATTCTTACCTTCGCGAGTTTGAACAAAAGCAGGATAAGTACTTTCGATACTTTAAACGAGCTGGACAATTCCTCGCGAAAATACCGGTTTGCAAACGAGTTCCGCTGTGCTAAAATCCTGTTGCAGCAATCCACGAGCATTTCCCACTGCTTTGTTAAATGTGCGACGATTTTCATCACCGAATTCTGACAAATTTTAAGCTGGAGATATTTATTATTTAACTCGACATCTCTCTCTTGACGTATTGACAGTTCTTCGATGAAATGTTGTCTTCGCGTGAACGCGATTGACTCTTATTGGATCCGTCGGAGTCTCAGCTTGATCCCATATTAAATTTCATTTAGGGTTACCATATCAACATTTTCAAACACCTCTTTTTAGGGTGTTCAAAATAATTATGAACATAATTATGCGCTACCCTGCGCGGCAGTATTATTATTCCAAATCTACAATACATGTGGTTTCAATTAATATTAATACGCAATTTTTTTACTGATGTGCAATTGCAAAGTAAAAACCTATAATGTAAACTATTTTTCATTAATGTGAATTCTTTAATACATTTTATATTTATGTATTTAATTATTTTATTGATATTTTAAAAATACCACTAAAAACACACGTAGGAACAATTCTAAAAATCTATAATAAAACTTTTTATTTTAAATAAAAACATTTTGTATTTATTTTTTTTTCAAGCCAAAGTGTTCTTTGATCTAATTGTATGTAAATGCCAATAAAATAATTAGTTATGAAATATCTAATCAAATGACTGTTCTGACCTATTTTAATCTCGCATATCCGGGCTTGCAAGCGAAATGTCCGGGATTATTGGCTTGTAAGTTCTAGTTTACTTTGCAATTGCACATCAGTAAAAAAATTGCGTATTAATATTAATTGAAACCACATGTATTGTAGATTTGGAATAATAATACTGCCGCGCAGGGTAGCGCATAATTATGCTCATAATTATTTTGAACACCCTAAAAAGAGGATGGCATCCGGGGAAGGAGGACAAATGGCAACTCTCTAGTCCCATTTGAAATAATTTTTTATAACGTTTCAATTGAAATGTTTTTAAATTTGTGTGATATCGTTTTCTATATTAAAGCATAATTAATTGCGCTTTTTATCAATTCTATCTGCATAGGCTGCCGATTTTATTGCTATTTCTCGAGATTTATTGTCGAAAGAATTTCATGGCAGAGACGTCCTATCCCCTCCTCGTCAGAGATACATTAGAAGAAAAATGACTTGCTCGTATCCTTACAGAGTCGGCTATTCATACTGTGAGTTTCTCTTGCGTAATCGTGCTAATTACGTCGTAAGTCGTTTGTTACGCAATTAGCGGTAGGTGTAACGAGGAAGTTCGATTTGAACCAAATTGAGTTTGTTATCGATTCTCGTGCGATTATCATATTTATCATATCAGTAGAAAAGCTCTCTTTTCTTTTATACGTTTAATTTGTAGGTAAAACGTATAAAAAATACTTTTTACTTTCGACTCCTTATGCCCCGTTCTGTCGATGAATCTTTTCGTTAATATTAAAAAATTAATTCAATTGTTAACATTGTTGTTATTAAATCTAATTCGGTTTGCGTTAACATGCCTCGCATTGTACGAGCACGTGCGAAATGCAGATTTGTAACGAGAAACGCGTGACGCGTATTATACCGTACCATTGTTTCTAACACATGAATACGTCGGTGTCACTATCGCACGTACGTGATTTTTCTATTATATGTTACCGTGTCGTCGAATCGATAATGTAAACGCGCATATTCTTCTTTCGGATTTCCATTTTAACACTAACGTTCGCGTAAGAGGTTCCCGCCAGACACATAAAAATAAAATAAAACACATTCTTTTGTAATTTTTTTTATTTTAGCAATATAACTACAATAATTTGGTCTTTTTGACTATAAAATAATAAAAATATCTGTTACAGATTAATGCATTGCTTAGAAAACTTATAATTTTTTCTCATTAAAAATCCCCTTTTAACTTTTATTACAGCCTTACGTATTTGGACGTTCTGTTATTTAATTTTTCAAGCGTATTTAATAATATTTTTCTTTGTGAACTTTTTCTATCCGTTTTTTTATCATCCATGGAGATTTTTTGATGAAAAAAGTAAGTTTTCTAGGAAACATACCATGAAAGATACTTTTGTTATTTTATGGTTTAAAATAATAAAATTATCGCTAAAATAAAAAAATTACGCAAAAATATTTTGTTTTGTTTTTAAAGCTGTCCGGGAATTTATGAATGGTAATGTATAAATTCGTTGAAATTTACCAGATAAACGTTCAATCCTCCAAAAGCTCCGACAAAGCTTTGAAATCTAATAAGTGGAATGTGTGTAGGAACTAGATCAGCTTAAAGATAAACATCCATTTCTTTTGGAAAGATGCCAAACGTACGATAGAAGATTTAATGGAGATAGCCTGCGAGGGATATGACATGTTTTAGATGATTTTGTTTGATTTAATTACTGGTTTATATTTTTTAGTTTTATATATAGATAATTTTATAATTTTAATTAAATAATTTAGTGTAAATGATTTATTTAAATCCTGAACATATACTCGTTAGAGTTTTTAAAATGTTTTACCACTTTGGAGAATTAATTGTAAGTTTTCTTAAGTAAGTGGCACTTTGTTCGTACAGGTATTATTTTAAAAGAATTCACGAGAAATTACTTATAGCACGTGTGATGACATACATACACTATAGGCTTTCTTTAACTACGAGCCGCTTAATGGTACCGGATAATCTACGGTTTAACGAGGTACTTGACTCTATAAACTACACGAGAGAGAGAGAGAGAGAGAGAGAGAGAGAGAGAGAGAGAAAAGGGGCATAAAAGAGTGACTTACCTTAAAGGCCGCAGTTAAGGGGATCCTAAAGCCGCCTTATTATCGACTAAATCATATAATTTTTGTATAACAAATACTTTTTTCTCTTTCACAGATTCTCTCTCTCGAAAATCCTTTTCCAGGATTAAAATATACGCATTAATACTTTTTTGTAAGGTGGAGTTTATGCCGAAATCGACCAAAAATTTCGAAATTGATATATTTTTTACCATTTCTTAGTGTAACATGGCGTCTCAAGCTGTCAAGTCGTGACAACATTTGCTTGACACGAAAGTTTTGCAACCTGTACTTATTACAAAATAGTAATTCACAAACACATAGTTTGCAACAAATAACGTCGAGTTCTTAGAATTACACTTAGACGCTTTATCACGACAAATTTGTTATACGAAAATTGACACGAACGTGTGACTGAATGCATAGGTTGCGTGAGATATTTGTGTGGCAGTATATAAAGACATGTCGATGCGCTGGAAAAACAGCGACATCTAATGATTTTGTCGGAGTTCGAGCTTCGCTAGTACTATTGGAGTAAATATTTATTTAAAATCCGCAAATTTTTTTTCTGTGTAGCAACGTATTTACGTCGTATCTTTTGTAATTATATCTTAAGAGGACAACCTCCTGCGTAAAAATTTCAGCACAGTGATGTCTTCATCCATTGGAAAAGTACCAAACCAGGATGCGCACAATTACCCGCTGCGCACAGTTCCTCCACTTTCCCCTATAATACTTGATTGAAACTTAATATTGACGTCTAATTTAAACTGAAAAACAGTTTGACAAAAATTATCGTAAAATTATATGTTGGCCGGAAACTTTTGGCAGTCACTGTATACATATAAATCAATTATATATTAATATATGTATACAAGTTATTTTATGTATATATACAGATGCAAATGTAGGTACTTTTTCGCCGAAAAAGAAAGCGAGAATCGACGGGCCGATGTGTGATACGCGACGTGGGTATAGTAACGTTACAGGCAGGAGAACGAGAAACGTAATTATCGGCACTTGGTCGCTGATGAGATGATTGGTTGTCACAGCGCAACGCGTGGGAGGATCGGGGTGCTCCATCGGATTCGTGGCTCGCTCGTATATTATAGGTACATGCAAGGGGCCGAAGCTCCTCGGATGATTTTATGCGGCGAAATCGACGCAGCCCCGCTTCGATTCTCTCGTTCGCTGAATGTTCGGCGTCTCGAACATTACGAAATCTCGCCTGAAAGCTTTTTTTTATATTTACATCGTCCGTTTGTGTGCTCCCCGGTGGCGGAGTTAGACAGCGGAACGCCGCGGAAAAGTAAAAGTGCCGCTTTCGTTTGACGAGTTTCGCGCAGCGAAAGGGCAACGCACCTTTTCCTGCGATCAAGTGACAAGCATTATAATTAGAACAGTCATTCGCCTAAAAAAAACTTCAGGTATCGTAAGATTAGGTTTCTGTTATAAAATGAAATATGTCGAAAATGAACGTGGAGATGGTTACTAAAATTAATCCTTAACTAGAAATGTAAATCCTTAACTAGAGATTACCGTCAAATTCAATTTGATAATTACTTACGGTAAAATTACGGTAAAATGGTAATTTATTGATAATTTAAAAAAATTTGTTGTTTTTTTTATAGTTTTACGCAAACGGGTTTTATTTATGTTTTTCACATTAATGCATAATATAAAACAATATTCTTCTAATATTCTCGTTGAGAATATAAATCGCTGATAGAATAACAATAGGATTGTTCACTAAATCTAAACGTAAAATCTAATCGATGCTAAAATCCGTTTTCAATATATGGTTC